GTAGGGACACTACCACTGCACAGCAAAATCCCTGCTTTTAGAGCTTTACCCTGAGCATCTAGATGACCAGACCAGTGACAGTATCACTGTGCCACTGTCACCTTCGCACGCTTTACTATTAGAGTCGAGAATGTACACCAGTGGTTTGTTTGTATTCTTGACTGACTTATTAACACTTGTGCGTCAAATGAAAAAACTCAGGGCAATGGAGATGATCAAAAGCTAAACATAGCAATTTAGGCTATTCAGGAAGCATCCTATATTCAGGATCTGGGAACAAATTACTACAGAAGCTTGAATCTGCACTGAAAACAACAAATGCTGGAGATCACTGTGCGTCAGGCAGCATCCAAGGAGAGAGAGGAGGCTAATATTTTGAGCAAAACAGTAGCTTGCTCTCTCTCCATGGATGCTGTCTGACCCGCTGTAATCTCCAGCATTTGTTGTTTTCACTATATTCAGGATCCTCTGACTGAGATGTTTTTGACCTCTACTGGGCTTGAACTATAAATAAACTTCCAGTTTTCTTCACTTTTCATTGGAATTACACTACACCCTCTTCTGAGTCAGAATATCATGGGTTCAAATCTGACTTCAATGCCTTAAGCCCAAATCGGGGCTGACACCCTACAGCAGTCCTGAGGAAGTGTTGCCACGCTGGTGGTACCATCTTTCAGGTGAGACCCTGAATTCAATCCCTACCTGTTCTTGCAGGCAATTGTAAGACTCTATACCACTATTCTGAAAAGTCTAGGGGAGTTGTCCTTGCAAATATAATCTCTGAACCAATTAACCACTAAAAGCTAATTACTATTTTGTATAGAATATTAGTTAGGGACTGGATTGATTGGGTTTGTATTTAGATAAGAAGTTATATGATAGGTTTGAGGATGATATTTGATGTAAGCTGGGGCCTGAAAAGGATGAGGTGGGGTGCTAGGTTGCAAAATGCATCGGGGTTTAAAAAAATTGATGGTTCTTTGGGGTTTCAGATATAGATGGGTACAGGATGGGTTAATCAAAATGATATTTTGTTTAGATTGGATGTGAAGGTATAAGGATTGGACAATTGCAGTGTTAGAATTGGATAAGAAAGAGGTCAGATTGTGGTTGTGTGACTTTGGGGTGTAACAATGCTGAGCTTTAAAAGGTTATTTTGTCCACTTTTTTAAGTGAGATTGAATAAGAGATGTCAAGTAGTCTGTAAGAAAGTAAACAGCTTGCAAGACCTTGGGGTTTCTTTTTAAAGTTGGAACAATAGAAGCAACCTGAGTGGGTGTGGTCAAGCTCTCACAAAACCAGGATCTTTAACTTTCAGCAGTTGCTGATGGGGTCTTGAAGAAGTGAAAGCCATGTTTTTCTTCTCTAGGTTACAGCCAATAGCTGAGTGTTCTCTGCTACTACAGGAGCTGCATGTGAGACAATCTGTGTTTTGAATATGCCTTTTTCCAAGGGTGTGTTTATGGGATGTTACTATATTGGAACAGTTAATTAGTAATAGTTACTGTATCTATTATTCTGTTAAGTTTTCCAATATTAAGTTATTCCAATCTTTCTTTCTTTTGTTGTATTTTAACTATAGTGGATGAATAAAGCGTGTTTTGCTTTAAATTCAGTAGCTTGACCAATCAAATTGCATCTGGAACGCAACACCTTATATTTACCTTTAAAGTAAGAAAAAGTTAGGGTCTAGGCTATCTTCTGAATATTTTGTTGGGGTTTGGTCTGTCCATAACAGAGGTCACAGCTACTGATATCTGAAATGAAAAGATGCTCCCAATAAACAGAAAACTTAAAAACAAGGTTCAACAATTTTGAAGAAGTGTTTCAACTTAATGGAAAATTTGAGCATAATTTATCGTAGGCGGCAGAAATCTCGCCTTCTGCCTAGTACCAACGTCAAGCCACCTCTGTTAAGGAAGGCTGGTCTGCATTAAACATCAATTAATCAGGCATTTAACTGAGGCAGAGGCAGGTCATCCCTAGCATCATGGACACCAACGGGACATAAATCCCAGCCGCCAACCAACAAGAGGCTGACTGCTCCTAATGTTCAACAGCACCACTTGGGACGCAATGCTTTGACAAAGAAAGCCTGGATGTGCAAGAATACAGAATTAAAGGAGCAATTAAAAGAGAATATGAAAGGTCATGACAGTGGAGTGACAGGGTGGGGCAAGGCCATGGAAGCTTGCTAACAGGATGAAGACAACCACCACCTAGGGACTGTAACGCAATAAGGATTTTGCAGCTTTGGCTGTCACAGTAGTTTGTGTGGATTAATTAATAGTTTTGCATGGAGAAGCAAAGTGAGTATGTTGAACATTTCGGCAAGAAAAGGACAATTTGAGAGGACGGGAATATATAAGCAGCACGATTGCGAAGAACACAATGTGACTCATGTAATTGCTATCATTGCTACGTGTGTGCCTACAATCTTGCCTGGTGGGCACAATGTTGGGAATGCTACTTCAATAGTCTGCTTTCTTATCGCATCAAACAGATAGCACTGTGGACAGAGTCTAAGTATGGTGACAAAAATGCAGAATTCCTGTCCTGCCTTTGATCTTTTTTCTGTGTAAAAATCAGATTGTGAATGGAGATGTTTTGACTGGGAGAGGGAGGAGAGGAAGTCCCAGCTGATGTTGGTTTTGTCAACCCTTCAATGTCTTAAAGGTCAGTTTCAGGATGTAAAACTACACTGTCAAGACTGATGCACACACTCAACCTGAGAAAATATTGAGACAACATCCTGCCTTCTTAGGCTACTTCCAAGGGCATTTAAGGGTTTGACATGATACTGGAGTCACATATGTAGGACGGTTTCTCGTCAAGTTTCGAACAACAGTCCAACAACCTCCCAGTCACTTTTCTCTCTTACTGTACCGATTTATTTCCAGACTTTTAAAAGTTCTCCAATTATCACAATGGTACCAAAACTCACCTCCTGTGGATTACCAGTGCACTAGCAATAACAGTAATACAAAGGATGTGTTCTTAACTATGACAGCTTTAGTTAATCCAGCAACCATCTCTCCAGAGTTCTTGACAAACATCCAACACCAAATCTATACATTGTTGGTGAAGGTATATTTATTGTACATGTCCACTCTTTTAAAAATCCTTAAATAAAATTTGTTAACGAACCAAGAAACCCTGAAAGTGGCACTGCAGAATAGGATAATAGAATCCCATAGAATCACCATAACAAAGAGCAACTTTCAAAGAAAACTTACACTTAAATTAAATAACATTCTGGAGGTGGGGAGGGGGAGGAAGAGATGAAGCACTCCAGCCCCAATAGTCTAGTATATACTGTATGTATATGTGTGCTCTCTCTCATCATCCCGCTCACCATCCCTCCCATCATCCCTGACCCACATGACATCAATCCACTTAGAGACTAGACAGCAGATGCTTCTTATGAAACTCAATCCCTGAATGAATCAACATTCCTATAATGCAAATAAATATCGAAGGGAAGGACTGGGATTTGGGAAAATGGTAGTTGGGTGGGGAATCAATCTGAGAGACTCCTTCCCCAAACACACAGGATATGGTGCATTTCTGTGAGGTGGTCACACCTGCAATGCTAACCAGATAAGGCCGCCACATCAGATTTCAAAATGGAACCTTAACCTGAGGAACAGCAAATTCCCATCTTTTGGGTCTGTTTACTGATTACACATTCCTGAGTTTGGATGGTAGCACTCCCATTCACCACTCCACCTTATTTCCCACTCATTTCCAGCCTTTACAGTACCTGAGTTAATTTCTCTGTTCACTCGCAATCTGAATTAGCTGTCACACCAACCACACCTTTCAACAATCTGCACTCAGCACATCCATTCACTGTAAACCTAAAAATTCAAACTTATTGCACGAACTTTATTTGATCAAAACTGACGTAAGTGGACCAGATAAAGATTTTTTTTCTGTGAAGACTTTAGCAGCTTGGGTGAATTAGGTTAGACCAGAGTTAACGTGGAGCTGGAGGCAGCGGGCCAGGCAGCATCAGAGAAGCAAGAAAGTTGGCGTTTTGGGTCGGGACCCTTCTGCAGAAGTCGGGGAGGGGTAAGGGAGCTCCAAAATAAATAGAGGAGGGGTGGCACTGGGGAAGGTGGGTGGAATGGTGATAGGTGATTGCATGTAGGGAGTGGTGGGGATTGGTCAGTGTGGTGGGAGGGGTGGATAGGTGGGAGAGAAGATGGACAGGTTGTGTCAGGTTGTATCAGGTCAAGGAGGTGGGGATGAGAGGGAGGGTTGGTTATGAGATGAGGCTGGGGGTGGGGAGATTTTGAAACTGGTAAAATCCACATTGAGACCATTGGGTTGCAGGCTCCGAAGGCAGAATATGAGGTGTTGCTCCTCCAGTTTCCGGTTCCCACTGCAACCCTCTGGTAATCTCTTCGGCCCTGAATAACTCTATTTATTTCAGAGCTCCCTTTACCCTCCCCCATTTCTGAAGAAGGGTCCCGACCCGAAACGTCAACTTTCCTGCTCCTCTGATGCTGCCTAGCCCACTGTGCTCCTCCAGCTCCATACCATGTTATCTCTGACTCCAGCATCGGCAGTTTTTACTATCTCTAGACCAGAGTTAAGACATTCCAGTGTTTAAACAGTAACTTTGAAACTAAAAAAAAGGATCTACAGCGACTGTGTGCTGTATAGATTGGTCCTGTGAGAAAGGATCTTGGCCATATTACATGGAACAACAGATATCCCTTCCGTAGCCGAGGTTTAGTAGCTGCCAACACTTCATATCCATTAAAAGTAACACAGGGCCTTACAAACACTCAGCAAAGTTACCAACTAAGTTAAGTAGAACGTATTAAAGCCTGATAAAGGCAACTATTAAAGACACCGTTTACTCAATTGTTCGATCGTGCTCTGTACCTTTTAAACATCAAAGCATTACATACATGGTATGATGCACAACTGACTGAATCTCCTGCAATATAAAGCTTTTTTTTTAAAAAAAGGCAGAGTTTGGGTTAGTGCCGAAGATTAGCACAGAGGTTCAGAGAGGGAACTCGCCCGACCTACTTTTTGTCCAGGTGGGCATGCAGTTCTGCCTCAAGGGCCATCTTATCGAAAGTCCTCGTGTTTATTTCCGAGCGCACCTTATCTCGGATTTGGAAGGAGGCCCTGGCCAAGGATCGTGAGTTCTCCAGAGAAATCTGCCTTTCCCTGAAGATGCGCTCGCTTTTCTCCAGTTTTTTTGTGATGGAGTCCTGGATCTCCCTTCGCTTGCACTCCTCGTCTTCCTGCAGTTTCATTTTGTTGAGCCGGTGGATCCTCTCTCTCTCCACCCGGCTCTCGCCAGCCCTGCGGGATATCTGGTTGATCTTTTCCTGGGCGACCTGCGTTGCGTGCTGGAGCTTCCTCTCCGCAGCCCGAGCCAAGGCTTCCAGGTGTTCCTGGTGCTCCTTCTCGTGCTGCTCGGCGGCTGTCCTCGCCCGCCGGATCTGCAATTCCTCCCTCGTTGCCCTCTCCTTCAACTCCCGATTTCGCTTCTCCATCAGCTGTTCGTAGTTCTCCTGAGACCGGGCCAGCTTCTGCTCCAGAGACATCCTCAACACCTTCTTCTCCATCTCCATTTCCTTGGAGATCTCCTTCAGGGCAGCCTCGTGCTTCAGCCTCTCCACCACGTTGGCCAGCTTCTTCTCCTTGGCCTGCTTCTCGTCCATCTCCACTTTCTTCTGCTGGGCCAGGCTCAACTTCTGGTGCAAGAGCTGGTCCCTCAGCTTGAGGTCCGATTGCTCTTCCAGCTCCCTGGCCCTCAGGTGCTCTTCCTGCTGCATCTTCTTCCCCAGCGCCTCGAGCTTGGCATGCTCCCGCTTGCCTCTCCTCTGCCGCTCCTGGCTGCCCGCCAGCAGCCTCCACTTCTCCTCCTGCAGGAAGGACTGCTGCTGCCGGTGCCTAGCCGCCTCCTCCTGCTCCTGGCTCAGCTTCGAGCGGCGCGCCTCCAGCGTGCGCTCCCACATCCTCCGGCACTGCAGCAGCGCTCTCTGCCTCCCGCGCTCCTCCGCCTCCCTCCTCGCTGCCTCCCTACTCCGGCGCGCCTCCCACTCCACGTGAGTCCGGTGGCTCCGGCCGCTCATCAGCGCCTCCTCCTGGCGCCTGGCCAGCATGAGGGCGGCAATCTTCCTGTCCCGGTCAGACACCTCGACGTGCCCCTTCTGCTTGACCTCCCGGACGATCCGGGCCACCTTCTGAGCGGTCTGAGGGGACTGGCACAGGTCGCCCAGGCTCAAGCTCTTGCCTAGGCTGGCACCAAGTGCCTTGCCCCTGGGGCTCGCCCTAAGCAGCCAGCTGTGCCCATCCTTGGCGGCGTCGCCACTGAAGGAGGACGAGGAGGCTCCTGAATCCGAGGAGGTCACCGTGGAGCGGCTGCCCGGCTTCTTCTGCAGCTGGTCCACGGACTGACTCCTGCTCAGGTCCAAGGGTTGGCTTTTCTGGGCCCTGCTGGAGGATGGAGAAGGGGGGAGGCTGTTCCTGACCACTCCTGTCCTCCTCCTCCTCCTCCTCTCCTCCTCCTCCCGGATGATCTTCTCCCTCTCCTGCCTGCAGTCCCTCAGCTTCCTCCGCCTGTCCCTCTCGAAGACCTCGTACAGGCCGCTGGCCACCCTCATGGAGCGGCCTGGAGCCTCCCGGGCGAAGTCGTTGACGTTCCTATGGAGCAGCTCGACCGGCCTGACCCCGCAGCGGGCGCAGGCTTCCAGCGAGCGGGGGCTGGTCAGCACATAGCGGCTGCCCTCCGCCTCCGAGCTGTCGAAGTTGTCCAGGTCCAGGCGGAACAGCGGCGACTCCTGGCGCCTCGGCATCCCGCCCGGCATGGCCGGGGCCCCCGGGGGCTCGGCGCTACCGTTCCCGGCCTCTTCCACCATCCCGCCGGCGGGTTCGCTGAGGGAGCCCATTCCTCATGCAGCAGGGACCGGGTTCTGCAGCAGGGATACAGGCTCCTGCTTCCAGCCCCGGAAGGTGCACATTGACACAGCGATTATATAACCTCAGGCAGCAAGGAAACAGGGGCATTTACCATCCATTGAACAGCTCCCTCTCCATTCATTCCTCTCCTCTCTCAGTATTCCCTTTTTTTCTCTCTGGATTCCTCTTCTCTCTGTATTCCTGTTTTCCTCACTGTTTTCTTCTCGCTGTATTCCTGTTTTTCTCTATATTCCTTCTCTCTGTATTCGTTCTTTCTCTGTATTCCTTCTCTCTCTGGATTCTTCCTCTCTCTGTGTATTCTTCTTTTTCTCTGTATTCCTTCTCTGGATTCCTCCTCTCTCTATTTTTTTTCTGTATTCCTTCTCTCTCTGTATTCCTCCTTTTCTCTAATCTTGCTCCTCCTTTTCTGGGTATTCCTTTTTCTGTTTTTCTCCTCTCTCTGTATTCCTTCTCTCTCTATTCCCTTTTCTCTATATTGCTCCTCTTTTTCTCTATATACCTCCTTTATCTCTGTATTCCCTCTTTCTTTCCCTGTATTCCTTCTCTCTCTCTGAATTCCCCCTTTTCTCTGTTTTCCTGTTCTTCCTCTGTATCAAAGGATCAGAGACTTGCCCCTCACCTCCGGCACCCCTCTTCAAACGCTGCAGAGTGTGTCCCCACCTCCTCCAGGAGACAGTCTCCGGGCCGAATGGCAGCAGGCGGCTGAAGGTTTTTTTCTGTCTGTGTGTGTGGTTGGGCGGAGCGATGTGGGTCACAGCCGCGCTCCGGAATCATTGCCGCAGCATCCCGGGCCCACACCAATGCGATGCTCAATGTGTCTGTCTCTGCTTCCCCACCCACTACGCAGCCCTTCTCTTTCGGCTCCCTCACTCCCACCCCCGCCGGATTAACCCTTCACCGCCAGATCTAGCCTGATCGTACTGCACTCCTCAGCTCCACTCACTCTCCTCCGAATCTCCTCACTCCCCTTCCCTCTCCTCCAAATCTCATCTCCCTCCTCCTCAGTCCTCCAAATCCCCCCACGTCCCTCCCTTTCCATCACTTGCCCCCATCACTCCCCTTTCTCCAAATCTCCTCACTCCCCCATGACTCCTCTTCCTCCTCACTGCTCTAAATCTCCTCATATCGTTATTCCTCACCCTCCTCCAAATGTCCTGACTCTTTCTCACCCCTTTCTCCTCCCCATCCTCCAAATCAGTGCAGTCCTCCTTCAAATCTCCTTATTCACCTTTTCCTTTTACCCTGTTCCTCAATCCCATCTTCCGTCTTGACTTTGGGGCTGCACTCTCTTCCTTTCTTTTCTCCCCTCTTCCTTGGGCTGTCACTCTCCTCCTGTATTTCTTCCTTAACCCCCTCCTCACCCATCGGCATCACCTTCCTTCCTCCCACCTTCTCCTCCTCCAGCTTCCACCCCATCTGGAGTACTGTCATACTGGGCTCAAAATGTTAACTCTATTTTCTCTCTCCACAGATGCTGCCGGACCTGCTGAGTTTCTCCAGCACTTTCTGTTTTGTTTCCAATCTTCAGCATCCACAGTTCTTTGCTCCATTCCGTCTTTTCTTCCACAGTCTTCTCCACCATGACCTTGGCTCCCCTACTCCTCGGCTGTAAGTCCCCAAGACACTTCACAGCAACATTTTCAGGCTGAACTTGATAGTCACTTCTGGAGCAAAGAGGACAGGTCTGGGTGGCATGGTGGCTCAGTAGTTAGCATTGCTGCCTCACAGCACCAGAGACCAGGGTTTGATTCCACCTTTGGGTAACTGTCTGTGCGGAGTTTGCACATTCTTCCCACATCTGCATGGCTTTCCTCCAGGTGCTCCAGTTTCCTCCCACAGTCCAAAGATACGCAGGCTAGGTGAATTGGCCATGCTAAATTGCCTGTAGTGTTCAGGGATGTGTAGCTTAGGTGGGTTATAGGGGGATGGGTCTGAGTGCAATGTTCCGAGGATCAGTGTGGACTTGTTGAGCCAAAGGGCCTGTTTTCACACTGTAGAGATTCTATGATAGGTGACTAAAATTGTGTTAAAGAGCACACTAAAGGAGTACAAAGTAAACTGAGAGGTTTAGAGTGGAATTCCACAGTTTACCATTCAGGCATCTGACAATGGCAGGGAAAAGGATGGAAGATACACAAAAAAGCACACGATTACAAGAATTTAAGTGTTCTTGGAGGATAGTAGGGGAAGAGGGGGTTACAGAGGTAGAGGTGAGATTATGCAGGGATTTGAACACAAGGATGGTAAATTTAAATGGGAAATTTTAAATGGTATTGCCTGGATTATGTGTACCCAAATCTTTGGAATCTTTTGGCTGTCCACAATGAGATCTATCTGCCTTACTGCTCAGAATTGTTGCCTGGGAGATGATATGGATCGGCAAGTGACATAGAGATGGGGAACTAGATAAACATTTGTGATCACCTTTCTACAGACATTGTAGAAAAGGAATGACATGCCAATCTGGACTGTTCCCTTCCTCAAGTATCAGGTCACATTACGCCATGACAAATGTTGCTTCCCCTCTCCCCTCCTCCCACCTCCCAGCCCCAATATCCTTGTGTTTACAGAAACTGAGATACAAGCACCCAGCAGTCTGCTGGTAGCTGAATAAGCTGTCCCCTGGCAACTGCAGATCAATCTCTAGCTGAATATCACTCCAGGCTGAAGACATTTTCTCAAAATTGAAGGCAAGTTTTAGCTTGGAAATTGTGATATGAGATAATTCACATCCAGGGCAGACTGAGGTTAATATTTTGCCCAAGAGATGGCATCTCTGACAGTGCAGCAACCCTCAGTATTGCCTGGATTGTGTGTACCCAAATCTTTGGAGTGAAGCTTAAGTCCATAACCTTGTGGCTGTCTACCGATGAAATCTATCTGCCTTATAGCTCAGAATTGTTGGACATTATACACCTGAACAGGATGAGTGATAGGTCAGCATCATCCAAATCAATATAAATAATGTCAGCAGAGTATCAGAATAGGAAAAAAAAATCCACCAGTAAAATCTAGATTGTGCTCCCCTTGATTTGACATTGATCTATTTTCAGCTCAAGGTCATTGCAGCCAGTAGGTATTTTCCCAATATTTGCCAAATCATGACCTCAGGTTCTCTATCCCACTGAAAATCTGATCTTTATAAATGGCCCTGTAGTGTCTACACTTATATTGCCTTATCTTCCTGGTGTTGGAACAAGAAAGACTTTTGGAATACTGCAAGATGTTGTTAAACTTGAAATGGTTCAGAAAAAGATTTACAAGGATGTTGCCAGGGTTGGAGGGTTTGAGCTGTAGGGAGAGGCTGAATAGGCTGGGGCTATTTTTCCTGGAGCATCAGAGGCTGAGTGGTTTATAAAATCATGAAGGGCATAGATAGGGTGAATAGCCAAGATCTTTCTCCCAGGGTAGGGGAGTCCAAAACTAGAGGGATTAGGTTTAAGGTGAGAGGGGAAAGATTTAAAAGGGACCTTTTTCACACTAAGGGTGGTGCGTGTATGGAATGAGCTGCCAGAGGATGGTAACAATTACAACATTAAAAGGCATCTGGATGGGTACATGAATAGGAAGGGTTTAGAGGCATATGGACCAAATGGGACTAGATTTATTTAGATATCTGATCAGCATAGACGAGATGGACCTAAGGTTCTGTTTCCATGCTGTACAACTCTGTAACTCCATTGGATCTATAACATGTTGATTCTTCTTGATTGTGTCAGACCAGCTAACTCACCCCCTCTCTCAATGGGCTCAACATTGTGCTAAAGGGTGGCCTTAGTGCTCTACGTTGGGAAGAAGTAAAGAATAAAATTGCTATGGTTGCTCACTCCTGATTTCGAGCGAGGCAAGGACGGGATCAGACCTGGCACCATGATGATAATGATAATGCACATGTTAACGCTTTCTGGGGAATCTTTAAACATGCTGGAAGTGACTGGAATTTATTACCAGGATTTTGGCTTTTGAGAGAGAGAGAGAAAGAGAAACAAAGAAAGAAACAGAAAGTGTAACACTTCACCTGTCTCCTCTAAACCTTCACTACGTTAAGTGTGGTCACTCTGGAAGTAGGAAAGTTTAACTTTTCTATTAATTATGTCAACAATCTAAACCAAAGTGGACACTTGCCCTGTCTCACTATTTGTGTACAGATTCCTGATGCCTCTAAATTCTCTCCCAGAATATAAGCAAAGTGATTCTAGTTGTCAGGGCTCCTGTGAGGCAGATGTTGATCATTAGTATCAGTCTGGTGTTGAGATCTGGATCAGCAAATGCCAGGTTGGTATCCAACTAGCTGCTCTTACATGGGGTATTAGCAGGGTACAACATTGAGCCTCAGAGCACCTTGGCTAGTGGGTCAGCAATGCTGACTGGTAGCACTTTTACATCTGACTGAAAACAGTCCTAGTTGGTTTGATTCCAGGGACTTGAGTGCAAACATCTAATCTGCCATGCCTGTGCATTACTGAGAGAGTGCTGTGTTTCAGATAGACATTACACACAGCACATTTTCAAGATGAACACGAATCTTCTTCCAGCTGTCTTGATGCCTGAATCAACAACACAAATGATGTGGTCATTCTCACGATGCTGTTTGTGAGTCCTTACTATACACCAATTGGCTGCCACACCACCACAGGGTTTCAAAGGTATTTCATTCACTAAAGCACTTTGGGACATATTGACAGCTATGAAAGCTGCTGTAACGATGCAAGTCAGAGGCCTACTCATCCATGCTGACCAGATATCCTAAATTAATCCAGTCCCATTTGCCAGCATTTGGTCCACTCTAAACCCTTTCTAATCATGTACCCATCCAGATGCCTTTTAAATGTAACTGTACCAGCATCTACCACTTCCTCTGACAGCTCATTCCATACTCACACTACCCTCTGCGTGAGAAAGTTGCTGTTAGGTCCCTTTTAAATTTTTCCTATCTCACCTTAAACCAATGCTCTCTAGGTTTGGACTCTCCTACCCTGTGAAAAAGACCTTGGCTATTCACCGTAATGCCCCTCATGATTTTATAAATCTCTATAAGATCACCCCTCAGCCGCCAATACTCCCTAGAAAATAGTCCCAGCCTATTCAGCCTCTCCCTATAGATCAACCCTCCAACTCCGGCAACATCCTTGTAAATCTTTTTTTTAGACTCTTTCAAATTTAACAACATTTTTCCTATAGCAGGGAGACCAGAACTGAAAGCAGTATTCCAATTTACCCAATGTCCTGTACTGCCGCAACTCTTGTACTTAATGCACTAACGAAGGAAGCCAGTGTACCAAATGCCTTCTTCACTACCCTGTCTACCTGTGACTCCACCTTCTAGGAACTTTGAACCTGCACCCCAAGGTCTCTTTATTTGGTAACACTCTCTCTGACCCTACCATCAAGTGTATAAGTCCTGAAAAGGAACAAAAAAAAGGACAATTATAGAATCATAGAATGCTTGCAACTCCAAAGGAGGCCATTCATCACACTGGCCATGTGCCAGCTCTCTGTAAGAACGGTTCAGTTCATCCCACACTCCAACCTTTCCCTGTTGCCTGAGAATCTTCTCTTCAGAAGTTTATCCAGTTCCCTTTTGAAAACCACAATTGAATCTGCGTCCACCACAGTCTCAGACAGCACATTCTAAATCATCATAGCATATGTAAAAAATACATTTTTCCTCCTGTTGCTTTAACTTCTGCCATTCGCCTTAACTCTGTGTCCTTTAATTCTTGACCCTTGCTCCCATGGTAACAGTTCCTTTTTGTCTACTCTCTTGACCCTTCGTGGTTTAGAACACCTCTTTCAAATCTCCCCTCAACCATCTTGAAAGAGAACAATCCCAGTTCTTACAATTGCAGAGATAACAAGGTGTAGAGCTGGATGAACACAGCAGGTCAAGCAGCATCAGAGGAGCAGGAAAGCTGACGTTTCGGGCCTAGACCCTTCTTCAGAAATTTCC